CGGTTGGTTTGGGTTTTGGAAGAGTTTGGGTTGAAATAGGCTCACTTGATTCCTTAAGATTTTCTTAAAAGGCTAAGTTTGACTTTGGTCAACATTTTCAGCAAACGGACCCGGATTTGTGTTTTGACGGTCCCAGAGGTCCTTAGGAAAATATGGGACCTGAGCGTATGCCCGGAATCAAATTCCGAGGTCCCTAGCCCGAGTAATAAATTTTTATAGGAAATTGTTAAACTGAAATTCTAAGGAATTAAAGAAATAAAATAATGATTGATCACATTGGTATCGAGCTCGTATGTTGGTTCCGGAGCCCGGTACAGGTCCAATATAACATTTAAGACTTGCCCGCAAAGTTTGGTGTCAATCCGAGTAGGTTAAGTGCGTTTCGGCTCGTTGGAGGTGAATTAAGAACTTGAAGTTCATAAGTTTGATTCAATTGGTTTTAGGGGGTGATTCTTAGATTTGGCATTGTTTCGGGCGTTCCGAAGGTTCGAGCAGGTCCGTTTCATGTTTTCAGACTTGTCGGTATGTTCGGGCGGGGCCCGAGAGCCCCGAGCGTCAATTGGACGAGGCTCGAGTGAAGTTGGAAGATTGGAGAAAGTCCTGAAGCTTCAGTTACTGTCATAATCGCACCTGCGGTTGGCCAGCCGCAGGTGCGAGACCGCAGAAGTGGTCCATCTCATGCAGATGCGGCCAAGCCAGGCCAGGCCCAAAGCGTTATCCCTCCGCAGAAGCGAAGCCGCAAAAGCGGCTTGAAACTCGCAGATGCGGCCTAGCGGCCCAGGTGAAATTCCGCTGAAGCGTGCTCCCTTCCGCAGATGCGGTGGCCGCAGGAGCGACCCAGGACCGCAGATGCGAAAATCGCTGAAGCGGTGAGCTTCATTTAATACGGGTTCTAAGTTATTTTTGCCATTTTTCACTCCTCCATTGGGTGATTTTGGAGCTTTTGAGAGAAGACTTCCAACTAGCATCTTGAGGTAAGTTTATCCCACCTATTCCTAGTTTAATACTTGTGTCTTAGGTAGATTAAACACTAAGATTAAGGTAAAATCACGGGGTTAGAGCAAAACCTAGGATTTTGATAAAACATAGATTTTTCCATGTAATTGGTTATGAAGCGTAGTAGAAATCATATATTATTGATCCTTAGGTTACAAAGAACAACTTTCTTCGAAAAATTTCGGAATCCGGGCACGTTGTCCCGTGGTCGAATTTTAGGAAACTTGTGTTTAAGGTTGGGAAATTGCGTTGATATTTGCAATGTGATATTGTGATCTTGTATTGACTAGTTCTTACCCCATTTAACTAGTTTTGGATCGTTCAGCTCCAAATTGAGAGTTCGGGCTCGTTCTTGGTATTGGAAGTGCACATTGGAGCGAGGTGAGTCTCCTTTCTAACCTTGTAAGAGGGAATTGTCCCCATAGGAGTAATAATTATATAATTTACCACTAAATGCGGGGTCTACGTACGCACTAGATGACGAGAGTCCGTGCGTAGCTACTATCATGTTAATTGTCCGGGAAATTTAGGACCCGTATCATGCTATATTTGCAAATGTTATATGTCTTCCTGCTAATGTGATCATTTAGGATATGCTAGAGAATTGGAAATGAACATAAGTGAACATACATATTGTTGAGCACTTGTATGAGTTTATTTGAATATAAATGCGCCTTCTTGTATCTTCCTGTTGATAATTGATATTTGTGGATCGGGCCGATCGCCTTGGTAAAAATAGATGCATCTATGGTTTGCGTTATTCAACCCTCCGGCAGTTCACATTTTCTTTTCTGTTGGATCGGGCCGTCGACCTCGGCATAATGTGCGCATGATATCTATGTGAATTATTATAGATGACTTGCCTGTTAAATGGTTCGAATTGTAATTGGTTAACCGTGATATTATAATGTCATGACTTAGAAATTCTTATTGCAACTTTTATATAATTGTGACCTTCATGCCTGGCATAACATCGTATCATATTATTTGATCCTAGTAGGTATCAAGTCGACCTCTCGTCTCTACTTCTTCGAGATTAGACGGGATACTTACTGAGTACATATTGTTTATGTACTCATACTACGCTTCTGTACTTAATTGTACAGGATGTGAGGCAGGTACATCTGGCTATCAAATTGGTACGCATCCCTGATCTTAGTCTGAGACTTCCACGGTGAGCTGCTTTCCCTTCCTGTGTCGATCAGCAGCTGATGGAGTTTCTCTTACTTTTGACTGTCTAATCTGTTTCAGACAGTAGGATAGATCTATTATTTTGTATATTCTACTAGTTGTCCATAGCTTGTGACACCAGGTTTTGGCACACACTTTAGTAGACAGTTCTTTTGGGGTTGTATAACTATTACTGAATATTGCATATTATCATGTGTTTTAAATTGCGTAAATTAAGACAAGTGTTGTAACTGCTTTTGGTAAGTAAAACTAAGAACTCACTAATAATTCCGCGTTGGCTTGCCTGACAACGGTGTTGGGCGCCATCACGACCTGAGGTAAAATTGGGTCGTGACATAACCATTATTGACGACTGTATTATAATTCGCCAAATCTGTAAATATTAGAAAGTAATCATTCTTTTTTGTTTTAGATTAATTCAAATGGTTCAGATGTCCATTTTCACTATACTTGGCATTTTTAATTATGGAAGTTTGAATGAGTTACTATCGATTTTGTTTCTTAGCTCTTTTACTTTTATTATTCATTGTTGGTTAAAAGGAGTAAGCCATCGTTTAGTTGTTGTTTTTCTCAAACTAATAATCTATCTTGTTCCATGTGAGATAGTTCTATAGTTCCACTCCTATTTAGTTGATTTTGGCCAATTTGTTTCATAAAACTGGAAGCAGCAGTGAGATAGGAAGGCTTTAATTCGCTTGAACAAGACTAAACCATGTGAAGGGAGGCTTAAGTTCCCTTTGAGAGTAATGGACCTGGGCCGAAATGCTTGCCAGGCCCAACTCATGTAATGTAAATAGGTTAACTCTTTTTAAAGGCCTTAGATATAAACGAGTTTCCCAATGACAACAATGACTAAGTCTTGCAATTTATCTATAACAATTTCCATACATCATGACCTTACACCAATCTCAAAGTAGTTTAGGAAAAATAATCCTAGAACATCGTAGTTTGCTTTAGGCGCGATTAATAAATCATCCTGGCCATGGGTACGGTTCCCGTGGGGTGTGCATTTTATGTGAACGGATCACAACTTCGAATAATACTAAAATAAACATGTTATAAATCGCGGGTGCATTTCATGTGGCGCGATTTGTAATGTGTACAAAAACGACAAGTGTACGACATCGTGACTTGTTTTAGAAATAATTTCATAAATAAATAAAAACGGTTATAAAATGCACAATAGGTTTAAAACATGTAATAAATCAGATAATTAGGCCAATTATTAATAGTTGAATGACCATACAAAAACCACGGAACTCGGGAATGCCTAACACCTTCTCCTGGGTTAATAGAATTCCTTACCCGGTCTTCTGTGTTCGCAGTCCAAAAAATAAGAGTCAATTTCCTCGATTTGGGATTTAAAATAAACTGGTGACTTGGGACACCATAAATTATTTCAAGTGGCGACTCTGAATTAAATAAATAATCCCATTTCAATTAATGTCACTTAAATTGGAAAAACTCCCTATCCCCTCGGGAAAAAGGTGGTGTATGGCTGACCGAGACTGGAGCGTGATCGGGCTTTCCCTTTTTGTATGACTGATCGAGACTGGAGCGTGATAAGCCAAGGTTTAGCCTCGTATTATATCGAACTGTGATACAATGTTAGGTTGCCGAGCTCGTGGTCCTGAGACCGATTAAGACTGAGAACGACCAAGATCTAAATCGACCAAGATCGAGACCAAACAAGATAGAGACCGAGGGAAGCTTACCGAGTCGAATAACGGAAAGACGAAATATCCGCAATCACGCGAGGATCACGGCGTGAATCTCGGCACGTATCAAGAAGAGGCCGATTAATTAGCCAGTCATGGAATTTCTTACCTCATAGTTGTATTTAGAGTAGGACTCCTCCAATATATAAAGGGGAGTCTGATCATTTGTAAAGGGAATCATATTCACGTAATACAAAGCAACACTATCACTCTTTAATTATCATTGTTGTTATTCTGTTATTAAGCCAGTTGATACATATTTGGTTCAAGGGTGACCGAACTCGAGCCCAAGGCTGTATACTTTGTGTGGTTTGCATTTATTCTTTAATTGCATATTTCAATACCAGTTTATTCTTCTTAATTTGTACCAAGTTATATCACGTGTCCTTAAAATCACATATAAATTCAATTGTTATCCAATTATAGGGTAAACAAAGCTAAATGACTCGCTTTACAATTAAGTTAAGAAAACTAACAATTGCGAGATATTCTGTTGGAACAATATAGGACAGGATTTCTGTGGCGAAGGTTTAAATAATGGACTTCCGACCAAATGTGCTTTGTAGGAGGACAATTTTGACTACACGTAAATAACTGATAGTCAAAAGAATAGTCATATCCTTATGTATTTCTCCTTTCCATAATTCCATGTTAGCTTCATTTGCTATAATTATTATTATTTGGTTCCATGATTTCATTTCTGTAGAACTCTCAAAGACACATAATTACATATATTGTTTTACAAGGAAATCGCTCTCAAATAGTATTCCCTCCGTTTCATATTAAATGAGGTACTTTCCTTTTTAGTCTGTTCCAAAACAAATGACACATTTCTAAATTTGGAAATAATTCAACTTTAAACTCTTCATTTTACCCTTTGAAGCTTTTATAACCACACAAATGGCATGACCCTACAAACCTTTTACCCCTTAAGCTCTTAAAATCACAACTTTCAAAAGTCTTCTTCTTTTTTGTTAAACTCCGTGCCGAGTCAAACTACCTCAAACAATATGAAACGGAGGGAGTAATATTTATGAGAATAATAGGTACTTACATGAAACTGACATTAATCTAACGTTGTAAAAAGATCAAGAACAACCAACCAAATGAAGCAAATTTACTGGATGTAGTACACTTAAACTTGAAGAGACCAAAATTAAAGGACCATCACTAAAACAAAATTTTGAAGACTGGAACACATAAGACACATCTTAAGCTTTTCTAGTTTCTTTTGCCCTTTCCTTTCTCTATGGGTATAACGTAAAAGATGGAGGAAAAGGTGAAGGATGGGAGATTATGTGATAGGATTAATTGAAATGATGTACTTAAATGTAGTTCAACATTACAAGGAGGTTCTTCACTCTTCAGAAAGGTATTTTATCAGTGATATACTGGAAGAAAGCAAAAGGCGCATTGACTAAACCAAGTGCCATTTCTACCAACATTGTCACACAGAAGCAGCAGGGGCATATGCATGTTAACATTAACCTGCACCATAACATGACCAAAATATATCAATAAGCGACAAAAGAAGCTTATACATATAATTAACATAAAAGAAAAATGCTTTCTTCCAACAACTTTGTTTGATATAGATAGTACAATAAGCTACTTAGGAATAAGTCAGACTAATAAACACTCTTAAAATGATTTGCAGTTTAGAAGTACTTTTCATATATATATATATATATATATATATATATATATATATATATATATATATATATATATATATATATATATAAATCTTCACCTCTAAAACATATATATTGTAGGACATAGACATAGTAAAATAAACTACTCCATCCGTTCCAATTTATGTGAACCTATTTCCTTTTTGGTCCGTTCCAAAAAGAATGACCCCTTTCTAATTTGGAAACAATTTATCTTAAACTTACAATGCTACCCTTAATGAGAAGCTTTTATAACCACACTAGTACTCTGGCCCCCTTTTTAATTTGTTTAGGACCACAAATTCCAAAAGTCTTATTTTTTCTTAAATTTCGTGTCCAGTCAAACAGGTTCACATAAATTGGAACAGAAGGAATACTTTATCTACTTAGCTTATAGCTCATTCGCGATAAATGAAGACCAGTAACTTGTCCAAATAAACAGGCATGACAAAGAACATGAGGTTATAGGTTCAACTTCTATAAAGCAAATCCGACATCGAATAATACTCCTGACTCGTGTCCATTGTGAATCAGCTCTCCGAAGAAACAGGATAGCTGTTACTTTCCAACATATGTTTAATAAGAAAAACAAAAATAAATACTACATAAAATCCTCTGTTATCTTTGCTATAGCTAGGCATTTCTTGGAGGAGTTTAACTATCACCCAAAAGATAACTAGGTACATGTAGCGGGATTAAGAAAGTACAATATATACAAAATACATCGAATAAGTTCTATAAAATACAATATATTCCAAAGCAATATATATAGTGTAAAAAATTCTTAGACCGTTAGTGTTCGTATATAAGTTAATTTAAAAAAAAAAAATAAGAGTAAAGGATAAAATTATTATAAAAAGAAAGAGGAATTATAGAAGGACAAACCCGAGGATCCAGATAATGCCTCCAACAAAAGCGAGGACAAGAGATATAAGGGCAGATGGAAGTCCCAACAGAAATGCTATTGGCCGGCATTTGAACTTTTCTTCACTTGGCTTCTTCTCCGCATCTAGCCCTTCTGCACTTTCTTTTGTATCTTCACCGGCTTTCTCTTCATTTTTCTTGTCCTCAGTTGGATTTTCTTCTTTAACTTGTTCTGCAGCTATATTTGCATCACTTTCGATTGTAACAGTCTTTGGTGCAGTGGTGATCACTTGATCATTTTCCTTTGCTGTTTCTTCTGACTTTGTTGCTTTCTGTTCGTGATCTTCTTCAATGGGTAACTGTGACTTTGCTGATTTCTCTTCGTTGATATCCATTGTTATGAGCTCAGCGTAGTAGAGAAAGAAAGCTTGGACTTTGTGTTATGCAAAAAAGAAAGCCTGCTGAGAAACAAATAAACGCAGACATTTATATTGTACGTAAAGATTTCTTGAAAATTTTTTGGCCAATCAAGACAAAACGAGAGTTTGGTAATAGTGACAACTTTCATAGTGACGTTTCCATCGTTACCTTGTTGTTTGACGGTTGTTTCCGAGTATAAATATATCATTTGTCTTTTCTTTCACGAAAATTTTTCCACATCTTGCCATTGAATACTTTCTACTTCTCGGTTCAACTATGTCTTCTCCAAATCCTGATCCTCAAAAGATCCTTATTGTAGATGAACTTCCCCTTGCTCCTATTAGAAGCAGGAGAGGTGGTACGCTGCGAAGTTTAGGGTCAATTTCCATACGAGGTTCTTCTTCTCAACCTAGTTCTACTCCTCCATCGTCTTCTAGAACTAGGGTTTCTTTTTCACATAGGTTTCTGCTAGAAATAGGGATTCCAGTGAGCCAATTCGTGAACCTACAGTTGACGAGATTATCCCTGCTGAACTTTTTTTTTATTCTGATAGAGAGTCGATTAGAAATCAAGTCTCCTCTATGTCTTCTCATGACCGTGCTGATGTTTATCCTTCACAGATTACTAAGGGTTTGATTTCTGTTGTTCGTAGAGATTGTCATTGAAAATTTGATTTTCCAATTCTGATCCCCAATGAAAACCAAAGGATCACTTCTTTTAAAGCTGGCTTTTCTTTTGTGTATACGTATCCCCTCACATTAGATTTTAGACCTCCTATTGACCCGGTCATTATTGAATTTGCCGCTTCTTCAATGTGTGTCTAGGATAGATTGGTCCTATTGTCTGGAGGGCTATAGCATGTCTGAGGCATTTGGCTAACTTGGCTCAATTACCTTTCACCTTTTATCATTTAATCCATCTCTACTCTCCTAAATTATTCCATCATGCGATTTTTACTCTCGTGGCGAGGAGTAAGAGAGTTTTAGTCAGCCCTGAAGACGATAAAGATCGTGGCTGGTATGCCCGGTTTGTTACTGCTCCTACGAGTGGGTTAGTAGGTGAAGAGAATATGCCCTTCCTTGAGAAGTGGAACTTTGCATGTAAGTTTTCTTTACAACTTTCACTTTCTCTCTTTTTTTCTTTTGTAGAGCCTGTACTTCCTGTAACAGTTTTACTTTTCCTTTTCAGCAACCATGGGAAATGTTGAGGAGATTTCCAGTTTCCGTGGTTGGATAGAAAAATTGTTAACTATTGCTCCTATGGAATTAAGGTCTTGGAAGTATCTTTCGAATAGATTTGGTTGGAAGGTTAAGACTCACGGTAACTTTCTCTTCCATTTTCTCCTTTTCCTTCGTTCGTTATTACTCTTGAACTTATATATTAACCTTTATTTTTATCAGGGTTTCCTATTCGAGGTGTGAGTGCTGAGTCAATCACGACTTCTAGGCTTTTTCTAGCAAGAGCTCAGGAGATAATCTTGAGTTCTTCATCGAAAAGAAAAGCCGATAAACCACAGGATTTTGAAGATGAAGAAGAGCGAGATGGAGGCTCATTAGTTCGTAAGCCACGGGCTAGAAGACGTGTCATTTTGGATGACGAAGCTACTCCTCCTCCTCGTCCTGTCTCTATGGGCGAGCTCGGAGAAGCCACTTTAGTGAGTTCTGATGAAGAGACGCCTGCAGCACCTCGTGATTCTGCTGAACACCTCTTTTCTAGTGGGTTTGATGATGAGAATTTTGGTTTGATTTATGAGGAAGCGCGTCTTGCCTCTTTTCCAGTTTCTGTTCCAATGGAACCCCATTTTCCTACTCCTCCCGTTGCTGCTACTCCTCCGCCCGAAGCTGTTTTGAATTCTTCGTTCGTTCCTATTGCCCCTACTGCTCGTACTGGAATCGGTTCTTCAAGTGGAAGCGGAGCAATGAAGCAGATTACCATTGAGATTCCTGCTAATGGTAATCTTTTGAAGAAGTCAGGTCAAGCCGACGTGTGGCTGAAACCCTTAATAGGCCCAGTTGAGAAGTCAAAACTGAAAAGTCATAGTTCTTTAACTTGGATGAATGAGATTGTGCAGTCATCTTTGAAGGTATGAATTCCTCCTTTTTATCTTATGTGATTTTCCTTTCGTTAGGATCTCATCCTTTTTTTTTCTTTATGTAGATCAATCTCATCGGTACGGAGATGATGAAAAGGATTGTCCATACGGAGCAGTTGATGCATGACTATCACACTGAGGTAGATAATTGGAAAGAGCAGTATGAAAGTCTTCAACTCGAGATGGAGGTTTTAGAAGAGAATAAATGTACCTTGGAGCAGCAGATAAAAGTTATGGCAGCAGAACTAGCAGTTGAAAAAGCCTCTTCCAATCAAGTGGGCAAGACAAGAACCTTCTCGAGTCGTCTTTTGCTGAACAACTTTCTAAGGCCACAGAAGAGATCAGAGGTCTGAAGGCCTTGTTGAATGAGAAAGATGTTTATGTTGGTGAGCTTGTTCAAACACTCACCCAGGATCAAGAAGATCTCTAAGTGTCTTCCGATAAGGTTAAGTTTTTGGAGAGTTCGCTTGCCCCCTTACAAGCTTCTTATGATACAGCCGTAGCTTAGAAGGAAAAGCTTAAGAATGAAATTGATCATTGGGAGAGAGATTACGAAGCTCTTGAAGACAAGACAGCTGTCGAAGTAAGTTGGGCCTTTTTGAACGCATGTCATGATACTCTTATAGAGGTAAGCTAGGAAGGCTTTAACTTGGCTGCTGAGATAGCAAAGATTAAGGAAACAATTGAGAAAACCCAGCAAAGCCAAAGTTCTTCTTCACCCATGGCTGATACTCCCGAAGATGATGAAGCTAATCCTGGTATAGCGTTTGTTCAACCCCCTTCTGCTTAAGCTTCCCATCCTGGCCCTGATGATACCGTTGCTGGTTCAGATTCTGCTCCTTAGTGCAAAGTTTTTAAGGAAATTTGAAGTGTTTTTTTATTTGGTGGAACAATTGAAGGTTTACCCCTGGTCCCATTTAGGGGTAATCTTTTTTGGTAATATCATACCCCTAGTCCTTTTCGGGGTTTTTGTAAAGACAATTAAGTTGGAACTAAGTTCATACTTAGTTTTAACTAAGTTATTTGTGATATTATAAAGTTTTTGTTCAACCTTTATGATACCTTTAATTTGAGTTTCTGTTTTACTCTATTAGTGGTTTGCCTTTGCCTTTTTCTTTATAAGTTTAGGGCTTTATTTTCCACTTCAATTTTAATATGTGGGTTTTTGTTTTACCCTTTTACTTTTGCATTTAAAAATATTTTGTTAATTTTGTGGCTTTTTGAATCAAGCACGAATTATATAATAGGGCACTTTTATACACAACTTAATGAAGAAGACGTCTCAACTTCATAATGGTGTAAACATACGAAAGAAGAAATAGGAACACACATGTTTCTTTGAACGACTTTCGAGAAAAGTTTTGTATCATTCGAACTAAATAATACTTTACATGTATTTAAGTATCATCTATAACTCTTTCGTAACTGTTTTCTTTACATCAGATTTGTAAAATTTCAAGGGTATATTTTGAAAACCGATGATTAAACATTGCCTTTAACATAAAAATTCGTAAGATTTTGGAATTCACATCACGAGTGTATTCTTCATAGGTTTCTGAATCAGGCTTGTGTTTTTGGCTTGTGGCTTTGCTCTGAACTTTTGATTTGTTGGGTAGACTTTAGGCTTTGACTTGAATTCTAATTGTTCCAGTCTTCCTTACACATATATTATATAGCCCTCCAAGTGTTTGAGCTTTGAAGCATGGAATCTCGAGCACTTGATTATTCCTTCCACGCGGTCCTTTTCCTGAAAAGGAAAAACATACGAGACTCAGAGGTATAACTTAGATGAAGACTGCTTAACCCTTAATATTTTCATTAGAAAAGTTATAACCTTAGATCGGGAATTATGTTTCTTCCGCGTGCCTTTCAGGTCTAATATCATCATTTGACGTGGGATAGCTTTTTGCCTATCATCTAAAATTGTTAGTATTTTTAATAGTTCAAAAACAAAATCGTAATTGAAGGTACCTGACCGTGGGTATTTCTTTTTCTTCCTTTTTCTTAGAATAGTACTTTTTAGATGAACAACATTCCAACTTGAGGGTAGAACCTTGCCATCCATGGTTTCAAGTTCATATGGACATTTTCCTGCGATACCTCGAACTTTGTACGGTCCTTCCCAATTTGGACTCAGCTTTCCTACATTGGCTACTCTTGTAGATTGGAAAACTTTGTTGAGTATGTAGTCCCCAATCTTGAAGTATCTAAGACGAGCTTTCCGATTGTAATATCGCTCGATAACTTGTTTTTGCGCAGCCATCCTAATCAAAGCTGTTTCTCTCCTTTCTTCAAGCAAATCAAGATTTACCCGCATCTCCTCTTCATTTGACTCTTCAGTTGCTTGAACATATCTCGTACTTGGCTCCACTATTTCAACTATAATTAAAGATTTAGCACCGTATACAAGTGAGAATGGTGCCTCTCCTGTACTTGTTTTTGTTGTTGTTCGGTATGCCCAGAAGACTCCAGGTAACACCTCTGGCCACTTGTCTTTTGACTCCTCCAGTCTTTTCTTCAAGTTATTAATAATAACTTTATTTGTTTATTTTGCTTGGCCACTGGCCACTGGATGATAAGGTGTCGAAGTAATCCTTTTAATTTTCCAACTTTGAAAGAATCATGTGATTTGCGCACCTATGAACTGCGGGCCATTATCGCATACGATCTCTTTTGGAACTCCAAACCGGCATATGATATTTCGCCAAATGAAGTCTCCTACCTCTTTTTCTCGTACCTGTTTAAAGGCACCTGCTTCTACCCACTTAGTAAAATAATCAGTGAGTACTAATAAAAATCGTACCTTGCCTTTGGCTTGTGGTAGTGGCCCCAAGATATCCATCCCCCACTTCATAAAAGGCCATGGTGCAACAACCGGATGTAATAATTTTGCTGGTCGATGCATATTGTTACCATACCTTTGGCACCTGTCACATTTAGCCACA